CATATATACTGTATATACACACATGTATATAATATACACACATATATACATACATATGTATATATATGCTGAAACAGGTAGAGTAGTGCAGCTTGATTTTAACATTAACATTTTAATATAACATAGTCATTTTAACCTTTTGAAAAACGTTTTAGAGGGTGTCACCTCCCAAAAAATGTCATTTTGGAAAATCTAGACATTTATTTTCACTTAATACTTTTACTTTTAATACTTAAGTACATTTTATGTCAGAAATTTACTTTTGATAAGGCTGCTCAAGTACAAAACATATCAGATACTTAAAGACTTTTACTGAAGTAATATTCTTATGGGAGACTTGAACTTTTACCAAAGTAATTTTATGGTAAGATACTTGTAGTTTTACTGAAGTATCACTTTGAAGTACTTTATACAACACTGCACAGATATAAACATGGCTTGGTTACAGAAAGGGTAAACTGCATATTTCCAGCAGACCTTGAACGCAACACCGGGGTAGACGTGGCCGTGGTGCAGCTGCTGCGTTCACGTGACGCAGTGTCCGTCGGGAGAGTTTCACTCTGCGCTGCAGCTCTGCTGCCGGAACACAACAATGGCGACTCCCAGTCCGAACAGCAACTCCAGTAGCTCGAACATGGTGGGAGCCACATCACACCAGCTGTACCAACACACACAGAGCAGCAGTATGCAAGGTAGGACACACAACTCACTGTTTCACTGGCTGCCGTTCAAACTGAGGCGGTGTTGATAGGAAACATTGTTTCTCAGAAGCAAAAACAGCCATAGTCAAGAGAAACTCAACAATGAGAYTATATCCGGTGGGAGCCTTCAAAATAAAACAAGCTGGAGTTTAGATAACTTCAGTTACWATGTCAGATGTCGGGCGAAACGAATTACGGTATTAGTGATCACTAAGTSATAGTGTGATTAAAAATAACAGTTTTTCCAAAAGTTTAATCATCATTAATTGTAGATGTGTAATTCTGGATATGTCAAAATTGTAATGTAACTATTTAGACGTTTTATTTTGAAGGCTCACTTGCGTGATTTCCGTTAGCGCTGTTGCGTGTTTATCTGAGCTAATAGCTCGCTACAAGGCTAATGTTAGCCGTGGTGCTGTAGGTCCAGTTAGCCTGAGTTATGTAATAAAAGAGTCAAACGTTTATATTTTCTGAGCTGAGCGCTTTTGTACACAGTCCTCAGAGTGTCATGTTAAACAAAATAAAGCACTGAGTGTGWGTCCGTGTGTTGCAGTGTAGTTAGCACACACACGGCTGTGTTACAAGCTGCAGGGCCTTCTGTTTTCCCAGGCAGGCCTCTCCTGCATGGTACTAGTTTTAGCTGTAAAGTCATAAATGATTTAATGTCAGCTAAAGTTCTGTCTTCAGATGAGTTTTGATCAGTTCAACTCTTTCACACGGCTGTTGTTGTTCCTAAACTCTTCATGTTGTGTGCTGCTGACTAGTTGTGAAATCACTTTGTTTTGAAGTTGCTACACAGTTTTTTGTGTCTTTGTTGGTTGGCTGCTCAAAATAAACCCAACAACTTTAGCACTGCTGAAAAAGCTAAATAAGTGCAGTCATGTGTTTGAGGCTTAAATAGATGTGAATTGTGTTAAGTTTCTTTGTAAAACATGCGTCGTATCAAATGTTTTATCTAAACCTTGCAGAGACCAACACCTGCTGGAGATGTCAGAATGAAACAGGTATTCATTCCTATTTTTACAAGGTTTTTAGTTTCGACAATCTTTGTGTTTTTGTAAAAATCTCCTCAGTTGGTCACCGTCCATTTCCTGTGGTTATTTTGTTTCACTTTCCATTTTATTCTTTACACTTGTTTGTGCATGTTGGTGTACTGTTGTCTGTCCGTTTGTCACACAACACCAGCCTGGCACAGGACACAGATGTGTGGATGTTTGTTGTGCAGCAGCACAGAAACCAAACTGTGGCTGTTTTACAGACAACTGTTAATATCACTTTATATAAAACATGCACAGTCACATTCCTCTCCCGTAAAAATAAAATAATAAAGTCTTCTTGGGGCACTGTACAAAAAAAACGTCAAATCACAAATCCAGTTCAGGGCAAAACAAATCTAGGTTCAAATCAAATGWCAGTAAGTATATTCTACTTGTAATCAAACAATTCATAAACTCTACATTGCTCTTCAGCAGGTCTTTAAAGTGTATCTCCCCCCCCCTGTGAAAAGATAACTCCGCCCCAAGGTGAAATTTGAAAAATGCATCAAAG